TAATGATTTGAGCTAAAACCTGAGGTCCAGATGGCAGATTCCCCCTTGCTGCAGTCAGACTGGCATCAGGAGCAGCATACCCCACTTCCCCATACACCCACCCAGATTCTGGCTTATACCTACCCCTTCCCTGCCTGATACCAGGAAAAGTTTTTACAGAGATTTTATCCTGATGTATGAGTTGTGATAGCCTCTAATTCTTAACTCACTCATCAGTTTGATTTCTGACTGCTGAAGTTAGCCCCCTAAATAAAGCTAATGATGAAGAGCAGACACAGTTCTGGGATAGTTCAGCAGAGGAACTGCTCACAAGTAGCAGGCGTGTGGATGTGATGCACTGCACAGGGATGCTTTCATTGAGCATGGTTCCAGCTAGCTGAGCTCGTTGTACACCCATGGGCCCTCGCACCATGTCCTTCGATCACACACCTATAATTCTATGCTGTGGTGGGCTGAAACCACATTCATGTTACTTTGGGAATTTCAAATTTTAAACCCCATAATTACAAGAAAAAGTGACCCAGAGAAGACTGAGGGCTACATGATATGAACTATGTACACAAGCAGGGTGGTGTGCGTAAACAAGCCTGCCTGTGGTCTGTGGCATCAAGGCCCAGATCTCCCTCAGAGTCTGGTGGTATTTGCTGTTATAGATGTACCAAGGGTCCCTTTCTGAGGAAGGACCTCATGGCTGAAAGTTGCAGTTGGTGCCCAGTAGAGGAGCTTGCATGGTACTGAGTATGATACTGAAAAACTGCAGGGTCCAGAAGCCTGAGAAGAGCCTGTGTCCCACACAGCTATCCTGTCTTACCTTCATATGCTCACTCCAGCTTTGGGCTTCAGTACACAGTGTATTTTCTTAACCAACCTTTTAAAACTCAAACAGCAGTACAAGTGACTGACTTTTCCTCTGACTGTACTTCTGACCTGTTTCACAAAGGCATATCCAGTAACATATGTTTTCAAAGCAGCTGCCAGATTGAAATGTATTGTTTTATGGTTGTTAACTAGGCTTGCCAACATCAACTTTTATGAAGTATACTCGGGTCATAACATTCCTTCCACTGTGAATAATTTTGAAGATATTGGCCCCGCGTTCAACTTCTCAGTTAAGGTTAGTAAATGTTTCTGGTTCTGGTTCGAGAAGTTGCCTTAGCTCCCTCTGTAGTCTGCTCCCAAAATGTCATTGAAAAAGCACTCCTGATTTCTTTGTCTGATTTGAGGCTTTTGAATAGGTCATGTAAGAAAAAAAATACTGCAAATAGCTGGGGAGTAAATGCTTAGAGTCTTCATAAAGTTAAGGATGACATTTGCACTTACTGCACAAGAAGAATAGGGGAGGGATTGGTCCTGCACTGTTTACATATTTAGAAGATGGTTAATGCTTAACTTGAGGCCAACTTAGACTGTTACTTCACAGAGCGTATTTGTCTTGTGCCAACTTGATAAAGGAAAACAAGTCTTTGCAGGCTTGGACTTTGGAACTTGAAGTCTGGCAAGGGTTAAGTGTTCAAACCAAATGCAAGAACTAGCCAAATCACAGTACTTGTTACATAACTCAGAAAAAACTTAGATCCAAATATGCAACGTGGAAGAAACTTAAATTATATTCCATTTACATTCCTGTAACTGCTACTCCAAAGGACTAAACAGGCCTATTGGCTGTGGCAGGATATTTGCTTTTCAAAACATATTTCATGTAGTTAATATGAGCTTTGCTATGGAAACAGACAGGGACCTGAAGATATACAGGACACTTTCTGCTTTACTATTGACATAATTTAATTACTACCGTAGTAATTGTCTTAGTACAAGAAATGTTGATGCAAAAGAAATCCAGTTCTTCCATACTCATACGTGATTTCTGATTTTCTTGCTATAGCAAATAATTTATGCACACGCAAGCACAGCTGCCTGAATTAACTCTGAGTTATTTGCTTTGCAGATAACAACAGGAAGTATTCCAGTAAAGATGGCATTTGTAAAAATCTATCTTCCAGAACTGACCAGCAAAGACAACCCATTGATGTACCTAACTGCAGTCACCACAGATCAGGTGTAGAACTGAACCGTGTTTAGGGTGGTTAATCAGTACCATAAATATCAATTATCTCCCTGATGTTATTGCTTAGATTCAGAGAATTCATGCCCTTTCTCCTTCTCCCTTCCTCATAAAGGGAGGACCATGATGTCAGCAGTACACTAGCCTATTACTTAGCAGATGTGGAATATCTTTATGTCCACAGCTAACTTTTCATATGATTCTGGATCTCTTTATCTAGGTCCTTCTCCAAGTTCCCAGAAAGCTATAGTAAAAATGGAACTTTTAGATAAGGACAAACCCTTGAGGTCAGTCTAGGGGGGAAAAATTGCCGTAAGATCCATTTAATTCTGCCCAAACCCACATACAGTCTCTTAGATCCCTAAAGAATCCAGTATTATATAATTCATAATCTAGCCTTTCACAGCCACCGTGTTATCCCAGAAATACATATTATTATGATGACTATAAACTACCAAGTATGATATCATCCATTCTCATTCCTGCCATCTTTCCTAGGCCAGAGGTGTGACTTGTCAAGCTCAGATAAATCCACTTCAAATAGGAAAGAGACCTTATTCTGCATCTTTCACAAAAGAGAACTTAAGAGCTTCCAAAGAACTGGTGAGTAAGACTCAGGGCTGCAGTAATCAGGACAGGGATGCAGAGCCGATCATGACAAACCTATAGCCATACTTGTCAGGACTGCTGTGATGGGATATAATTCCTCATTCACTGTGCAGTTCAGCGTATGGATGTTCTCACACATACTGCATCTGCTTTAGATAGAAGAAAAAGTGCACATTCTTCACAGTCTGCAAGCACTTTGTTTGTATGCACAGAATGGTAAAGGCAAGGGCAAAAATGTCTGGATGTTAAAAGAATATTTTTAAACTGTATTTTTAATGCATGCTGTTGTCTCTCCTTGCTTTTTCCCCTGGAAGAACTGTAAGAATGTGAAGTGCAGTACAATCACATGCAAACTGGAAGACATCACGTTGAAGGGAGAGTACTTTGTGAATGTGTCCACCCAAATCTGGAATGGAACCTTTGCTGCTGTGAGTATCAAATGCATCTTCATGAAGGATCCAGTACTCAAGTATTTCTGAACTCCTGATATTTTTCAAAGTATAGTAAAGAGACCTTCCAATCTAGAAAGACTTTACATTTGTCCATGTGTTTTTTCAGATTGAAATCTTGAATCTAAAAGTAAAGTAGTGAGGCTGCATAATGGAGCCGATGAAAGTTTAGTCCAGCACAAAATCTGAGAAAATGCTGTGATAATGCAGTCTTCACAGCTGAAAAAAGCATTTCCTGTATCTGTTAAATTCATTCAAGGAGAACTACAGTTTCCACAAAACTCATCACAGGTCAGCAGAGTGCAGTATCATTTTAGCCTGTAAAATAATTGTGCTTTTACCTTTTGAGTGTTATAGCCTACATAGGGATCATTTAAAGTCACATCAAAATATTGAAACCCTATTAGTGCTGCCAGTTTTATTGGCTGTAGAAGATGTGGAAAACTTTCTTTTAATTGGGTTTTTTTGGTTGTATTAGAGTAGGTGTCAAGGAAACAGTCCTTGCTTAGAGACCTACAGGATGTTTAAAAATATCCATCAATAATATCTTGACTTTCCCATTTTAAATCACCACGTGTCCTCCAGGATATAACTCATCATGAGTTACTAGAGTTTTGAAATTAGACCATGTTTGCTTCTTAGCTAGGCAACCAACCAAACTGTCTTGGAGTCCTGGGTTTGCCTAAAGCACCAGGAACATGACGCAGTCTCCGTAGTTTGTCTGGCGAGTCTTATGGCAGGTACTGACATTTAACAGCTTGGCTGTTGTCAGTTTTAGCATTCAACTCGTAAAAGGAAAAGGTCAGGTTGATATTGTAAAGTGCATTATGCAAGTGTGCGACAAAAAGCACCTGTCTTTAGAGTTTGTATTTTTCAAATCAGCTGGGTCAAGACAATTTGTTAGTGCTGTCAGGTACTCAGAAGGAGGAGCCCTGAATAAAAGGTTGCTGCCCTCGCAAGAAAGTGAGTGGAAATAATTTGTTTACCACTGGCTGATGGGAAGAAAAGGTCATATGTCACAGTTTTCCTCGCATCTCCCATTTTGTTATTTTCTATTTAATTGTCAAAGTTCAGTGCAAATAATCTTGCAAGCACTCACTCAATAATCCACATCACCAGCCCTTTTATTTAATGGCAATCAGCTGTTGTCCTGGAAGGGGCTAGCAGGCTGCCATTATCTGCTAAGCAAAGCAAAGATGTGTTTAGGAATTGAGGTGCTTGGAATAGTGCTCAGGTGGGCTTCTAAACTTTCAGGTGTGGAGGATGGACCTCTTGGTCAGGTGGCCACAGTGCAGGGGTGCAATAACTTATTCTGCAGGGACAGTCAATTCAGTGTGTGTCAGCTGCTGTGGACCCATGGTTGCTCACATTTCCTATGTCAGCCCCATGGTACCTCGTCTTGCCACAGGGAAATGGCTGAGGAGGCAAATGATAGAGCAGGCAATGCATTTGGTTCAGCTGATGAGTTCTCCTGCGCTCCCATGAACCTGATGATGCTGTAGAAGAGTAGCAGTGAGCTGGCAGTGTCTGCACAGCCATGCTGTGCTCCTTGCAGCACATCCACCGAGGGAAGTGGGATCTGGCGCAAGGTCCTGTTTCAAATGGGAATTGGCTAAAGATTTTTATCATCTTCTCTGTAAGCCGAGCGAGCCATGTCAGAATTTGAGAAGTGGAGAGGAACACATAGTGATAGGAAAAAATTAATGGGGAAAAACAGAAGCACTGGATGGGATTGGGGTGGAGGGGAGTGAAAGAACATCCAGTTTCCATTTCTTTCAAAGTCCAGAGAGATATCCCCATCTGTCTTCTGTTGCTATTTCTCTTTCTCACTGTTATTTTACCCATCTCTTCTCTGCTAGCTGCAGTGACAGCTTTGAAATAACTATAAAAAGAGTTATATAAACAATTCCTTCTGTTTTGCTTGAACTGTGTATTAAATAAAAAGAAAAGCCAGTTCTCCAGTTTCATTGCTAAGTGTGGATTAGTGATACATTATTACTTTGATAGACATGTTCACTTGAGACAAATAAAAAAGATAATTTTCTTACTACTATGATTTTTTCCTGGTTCTGAAGTCTTCATTTCAAATCAAGACAATAATTTTAGGATGTCTACAGTCAAACTGATATTCCCTATAGCAGTGCTTTACAGTTGTTTAAATCTTCTCTTTCAGTTAACTTTCCAGACATTAGAACTCTCTGCAGAGGCAAAAATCGATACACATAACCCTGAGTTATTTATAATTGGAGAAAATACCCTAACTGTAAGTGATAGATAAGTATATTTTTTCAACTTCTCTCTCTTTTATTGTATTAAAGTAATAATATTTAATTTTCAGTGTTCTTTAGGAGTACATAGGAATTGGATTATGGTGAACTGATATATCCTTCCAAGTACATACAACCTCCCTTAAGTTACTAAAATGTTTTCATTTCAGCCAACTGCTATATAAAGCAGACCTAGTTAAAAACTGTAGATCTCAAATAGCTTGTAAAACTATCAGAAGAAGTCACTTAAAAACTTCTGAAATTCATATAGCTTCCTGTTACAAAGATCAAAATCTGGACTTGTTTCTGCAGGGGAATTAATTGTTGTAGATAATGAGCTCTGGGAAATATGTTTGCAAACCTGGTTCATAGTCTTACTTCTGTAAGCATATGTGGTTTGATGTTTCTAGACAAATGTTTGGCACAAGTCTCCTGAAAATATACTTAATCTCATTTGTAAAAGAATGTGCAATGTTTTTTGCATTTGGAATGGCTGTCATATGGACGATGTGGACACAGCTAATCTCAAGAAAAGTCTCCAAACCACTGCTTTATTAGTACAGAATTCTTTTCCCAAGCTTCCCATCTGCTATATACAAACACTAAAAAAACCACTTGAAGAATACAGTAGCAGTGTGGTAATAAAAAAAGATACTTTATTCTCTTGGTCTGTCTTGAGAGGAACACCCTTCCATTTGCAATATTAAGTTCAGATTTATATTTATGGGATTTAACAGTCGGTTTTATCCATAAAGGCCATTGAAGACAAAAGTGCAAATTAGTAAATGAATCAAATATCTGTGAGAAAGTGTAGCATAGTCTGTTCACAGGCATCAGAGAATCCATTTAAATATGTACAAAGGCAATTGTGGATTGATCTATCTTAAAGTGGCAATAAGAGCATTTTTAGTCATCGGTTTCTCATGGATCACTTCATATAAACCAAATGGGTTTAAATGGGTAATCAGGAAACCTCCAGTGCCAGAAGAGCAAAGGAAATATATATTTAGCTCTGGAAATAATGCCATATTTTTGAAAAAAAATTACATGCCTGTATTGAAGTGTTCTGAGTGCCTCAACTTTATGGCATAGTATTACTTCTGTTAGGAGATAAAACTTATTACTATACAATGCAAATATTCCAGGTTACTGCACAGGCTTTTTAGGTAGTTCATAAACTATGTATTACTAGGTATTTTCACACATTGGAAGCATGCTACTGCCAAATCCACGTTACCGGCAGTTCTGTTGGCAATTTCAGGAGAACCAGAATTTAATTATTCAAATGCCAGCTGACAAATAAAAGTTAATTCCTCAGCCAGCCATTGACACATGCAGCTGGGACTTTTACATCTTTGAGGCAGTGGCTGAACAGACGCTGAAAGTTATCTGCAAGGTTCCTAAGAAACACGGTGACTTTTGGTAATCAGCCAGCCTGAGCCTGACTTGATAGCCTATTGCCCTGTGAGAAGTCTTGGAAAATGTGCCATGTTGTATGGGTTCATTCTCTCTAGAGCACAGTTTGCTTTGACACTTCAGTGATGGAGGAAGTGTCAAGCACTGTATATACTTTTTGTCAGCCCAATAGCAATACCCAGTCTGCCCTTCACACTTCCATGGGAACAGGACAGTGCAGAGGTAACCTGAGCTTAGATGGGGGTGGTAGGATTCATCCAACTTAATATCTACATTTAGTCATCCACACTAGAGTCAGCCCTTCTATAAACCCTAATCCATAGAAAGAATAAGTATTTATGAAATTCATCTCATCAGAAAGATGATCTTCAAAATAACTAGGGTGAACTAGGCCCTAAAAGTGCCTATCCCCCTTTGGAAATCAAGAAACTATATTGAAAATATAACACTAGATGAGGTGAATCACAGTCATGGTGTCTTATTGACCACAGTTTAACTTCAAGGAAGGGACTTGTTCTTAGCCATCAATTTTCCTTTCCAACAGTGCCACTTCACCGTTAATGTAATTGAGAAAGCAGTGCTAGGCAAACTGCACATTCTTATGAAATTGGCTTTTTAGTCTGGATGAGCTGGGTTGTTGTTTAGCCAAATAAATGAATATTGCCTTGTGATGCTATGTGGGGAAGCTGCTTAGGTATTTCTGCGTAAAAGCTTTCAGATTTTTTCCAAGTTGGAAAGGACTGCCAGCTGGAGGACAGAATGTTAACCTGCTAGAATCATCATTATGGCCATTTGGTTAGAAACTACACAAAACCATCCTGCCTTGGTGAAATGAATACACATAGCCACACCTAGGACAACAGTGGAGCCTTCCAGTAGAAATTACTTAAATCACTGAGATGTCAGTCCACTGCAAATTTCCCAGAAAGCTTAAGATTAAATTACACCAGACTGCACCGAACAAGTAACCCTGAGAAAGTAAACTAATGTGACTTCTTCTATCATGTTTCAGGAAGAAAAAAAACCCTTCAGCTAAATGCACGTCACTCCAAGATTAGATCCAAAGATTTGACAGTTCATAAATATTACAGCAATGTCTCCCAGAGCAACTGTGTTATACATAATTATGTATTTGGTTACACCTAATCCAACTAGATAGGGTATCACCTGAAAACTAAGTTTCAGACAACATATGCTGTTCTGGAGGCTCTCTGGTATTGCTTGTAGTTCAGGAAGTGTAGGTGTGCAAGAAGGTGTGCCTGTTTGGCCCATGCATCTCACAGCAAATTCATACGTTTTATTCAGGAGAACACAGATTAACATGAGATCTATCGAGTTGTTAATGGTTTCACAGAGGGTAGGAACAGCAGGAAAAAGAAACAGAGGTCCCCGCCCAGCAGGAGGGTTGAAATTTCAGCAGGTGCAGGGAGAGTGATGGTGTCTGGCTTCAGTGATTAGTGCTGCCTCCTACAGCTGCCGACCACAGATAAGGGGCCCTGACAATGCTTGGTGGAAAGCAGTTCTTCTCCAGCTGACATGGGAGAAGGCTGTTTTGAACAGATGGGTCTGCACACCAGGCTATTACCCGCCTCACATAAGCATGTTTGCTTTACATACTGATGGTGTGTCTGCGGACTGTGGGGACAACTCTGAAAGGCCTTCTATTACTGGAGATGCAGAAAACTGACAGGAGAAGATTGGTTCTCTGCCTGTTGTGTATGGCCAAGCGTGATGAGGGCCCCTGATCTTTAATTGGCACTGCTGTGTGCCATGGTGGTGCAACCAGGTACCCATAGACACTGGTGAAGGCTTGGTGTGTTCCAGTCATTGATCCTGGAATCTTTGGTTTACAAATCCTACTCTATATGCAGTTAACATTAACACCTAACACCGAACCTCTCTGCTTTCAGATCCCAGTTACAATAATGAAGCCAGACGAAAAAGCTGAGGTACCAGTAGGTGTTGTGATTGGCAGTATATTGGCTGGACTCCTCTTGCTGTTAGTGTTGGTTGCTGTTTTGTGGAAGGTAAGTAGGTGTTCATATTCTTAAACTGAAATATCCCTTAAACAGAAAGGGATAAATACATTTGGACTATTTGCATTGGAATGTCTCTTCTCTGGTGTGGAACAAAACACATATGCCGTTTGGTGGTATGAATAACACTGCATTGACATTGCGTCCTTGGTGGGAGCATTTACAAGGCTTTATGAGTCCCCATAAGAAACTGGCAATACAAAGATTATAAATGAGTTTCCAGTCATTCAAAACAGGGACTGTTTTCTTTTGGACACTGACTGCCTCCTTCCTTAATACCCCTGCTGGGCTCTGAATGCCAATGATATTCCTAGTTGACAAGGCTGGGGATTAAAAGGAGGGAGAGGATGTACACTGAACAGACAGAACAGGAGAACAGAAAAAGGACAAAGGCAAAAAGTCATTTACAAAGGATACCTAGATTAAGGGGAGAGGGAAGTTTTCCTGCATGCCAGAGCATTGGTGTTTGAAGGGTTCCTTGGCAGACCAAGGATGCATGGAGAGGTCTGTATCTTGGCAGAGAGACAAATGGCTAATCAGCACTGTTATTTTGGCATTAAGTTGCACCAGGCAGGAATTTAGGGCCCAGTTCCTTTCATTTTAGAGGCAGGAATTGTCCACAAATCAAAACTCTGTAGTGTGTACCTGCACACACGTACATTTCTACCATCACACTATTTAGCTTAGCTGGGAAATTAACTATCAATGACTGACTGCAATGTGGTGTTATTTTAATACTTCCACAGCTTGGCTTCTTCAAGAGACAGTATGAGAAAATGACACAGGATATAGAAGATGTCGATGAAATCGCAGAACTCACAAAGGACAAAGACTGAAGAATATGAGTTATGTGGATAAAGAGGAGATCTGAGCCACCAACAGTAGTTGTGATCCAGTCAGTTCTTCAGCTGGAGTGCCTTAAAGCTTAGTAACATTTAAACATTTTTAATGAAAGTGTCTTTATAGATGAAAATATTTTACAGATTCTACTCTATTATAAGAGTAACTGCAGGACAGTTTGGTTTTTTTCAAAAATGATTTATAGTGCCTTTTCTTGTAAACTTTTGCCTTTCAAACAAACTTAGCCCTTAGAACTGGCAGGTCCGGAGTTTACAGTAACATATTGTGCCAGCAGCCCTTCTCTTGATCCACTGCAGAGTGAAACAGAACAATTTATTTCAGTTTATTGTGGAACAGCATCAGTTCGTAATTCAGTTGACAAGTACCATATGTGTAAAGGACATTTTCTATTAAGTTGATGATGAATGTGTGGTGAATAGTGCTTCCAGACTGAGAGAAGAAAATTCATTTTTTCATTGACTAGCTCCATCCTTATTGTTTTAGAAAAATAATTTCCACCAGCGAACCTTTGTCTTAACTAATCTATAAAGTGGGAACTGTGTATGGAGATGTCTGTCTGGGTGCTACAGGACAACTGGTTGGGAAAAGTGTTCCAAAAGTTCACCATGTTTCTTGCACTAGGGTCACAACTAAACTACTGAAGTACATTGTTTTGGGAAAATACTTCCAAATGGTATGTATAACTGCCTTCTACGTACTTTCTCTCTGAGAAGAAAATACGAATTTCATAATCACTTACAGCATGTTCTCTGCAGTGTTATGACTGGTTTTCAGATTTCCTCTTGAGAAGCACTACCACTACTGTTACACTGGGCTTTACACTTTTGGTCCCTCTTGAAATCAGCTTGGTTTTTCATATAAATAGAGAACACAGTCAAGATCTTGACTTTAATTCTGTACTGAAAGATTTTGCAAGAGCATAAAGTGAAGGGGATAGATGATTGAGGAATTATGCACGTTACAAAAGGGGATAGTGAAGATCTAAGCTCTGTAAAATGTTTACTGCACTTATTTCTTTAGCATCTCAGTGCCCTCCAGGAGACCAAAGTTCAGTACGACCTCCTTACCTGTCACATTTTGTTTGGTCCCATCTGTTCATGTCTTGATGAAGTTAACTTATGTTTTATACAGTGAAGTACTGTAGTGCTCTGGAAGGAGCTCTAAGCACAACACTTGGGTGACTTTGTGTTGGTTACACACCTCAAGTTTATCACATGCTGTTATGCTGCCTGCTTTTAATGAGAGCTTGGTCTTAAAAAAGGCCCATGCCATTAAGACTGGAAACAGTCAGGGGAATTGGCCTTTTGGCTGCCTTTCATGGCTTCCATGGCTGGCAGTTATGCTTATAATTGATTATGAGAGATGATGTGTGTGTTGTCCTTATGTATGCTGCCATGCAAGTGAGATTGTTTCCAACTCAAGGTGATTTACTTGAAGAGCAAAACATTCAAATGTGCCTAACTGAGAACCCAAAGTCATGTTTTCTTTCCCCCAAGCTGGATTGTAATTATGCTTAGGCACCTTTCCATTATTTTCTGAGGGACGAAGCTTGAGCACGTTTGAAAGTTTTACTCAGTCTTTTTTAATCAGTAATCAGCCAGAAGCCAACCATCTCTTTGGCAAGTAACAACTTCGTTTGTAGCAACAGCTGGATTGTGCTCAGTGTAGTTTTATATGTGTTTTGGATTTATTTTGTATCTATGAAATGTTATGTTTTGGGGTGGGCTTTTGTTATTTTAACATTCTGAAAAACAATCCAGATTCTGATCCTGATTGTCAAACAAGATTCTTGCCATCAGTGGAGTCTGTGACCAAAATAATTACTTTAAAAAAAAAACAAAAAAAAAGGTAGCAATTGCATAAATCTAAAGAATAAGCTCCTGACTTGTAATTATAAACCTTGGGGGCAAATGCTCTGAAAGTAAAGATAAAAATTTGTTTGCCTCAGTTCTTGTATGAACTTGTGCAGAAGAAAATAAACCCTACACCCACACATGTGGGAAGCTCCTACTTAACCAAGGTCATGCACTCCAGGGCAGAGGGGGAATTTCACAATGCAGCAGATGGCAGCATCTTTCATTTCTGGTGCTGTCTGCAAGGGAAATTCAGGCATTCAGCCAGATTTCCTTGTTCCTCCTTCAGTGGGAGGTACAGGTCAATATCCGACATACAACTTCTTTGGGGATTTAACAGTTTATCAATCAGGTAGCAGTGATTCAATTCACTAGTCTTCACTGGGTTTTGTTTTGACCCAGGCAAAAGGATGTCCCCCTCCAGCCTGGACACAATACTCTTTTCCAAAATAAAGGGAAGGCATAGCAATGGGTAAGGTTTTTGTATCCTAACCACTTCAAGTTACTAGTTTATTTTTCTTTTATAATTAACACTTAAATGGCTAATTCAGTTTTTTTAATGGGTGAGTCTATTGCACTTTTAAGTTGGCACAGCCGCAAATAATACTGGAAATATTATGTATATTTTGTGTTGTGTGCAAGGGGTTTTTTTAAGTTTACTTTGTAAAACAGCATGTTTTAAATATTTGGAAATGTTGAGCTTCAGCATGTGCTTCTGTTTGTGCTTGCAGCAAGAAAAGTCAGCAATACCTTCAAGAAACTCAAGTTCCATCTGATTCTGGTCTTGAAATCTAGCTGCTGATTTCTTGAAGTACTGGAATCAAGTCCAAAATCAGAGTTGGTTTCATATGAGCCTATGTATAGATTTGGGATGTACAAGAGAGTTTATAATCAAGTTGCCTTCTGAAAGCTAGCATGTAAGCTCTATGGGAGCAGGGACTGTATCACTGTGGTGCCTATCTGAGGGCCTAACAGCGTTACTGCAATAAAACCAAGACTACTGCTGAACACAGACTCATTTATTTTTAAACAGCACCCTAAAGAGAAGCAATGCTGCTGGAAAAAAGCACTGCATAAAATGATGCCAAGTATGTCTTTGTTCCAGTAGCATATGGTGAGAACTCCAAGGGGATGACTCTTATAGGTATACAAAGAAGCTGCACTTGGAAGTCTTGTAGATCATCATCAGGAGTGTGACACTACCAGTAAGCTATATTGTAGTGTAAGTCAGTTCACATTAGTGAAAAATATTTGAATAGCTCTACCTGAATAGTTGGTGTTAAAACATTGCCATGGCCAGGCCTTCCTATAAACATGAGATTATCTTCAATGGCATCTAAAATTAAACGATACTTTGCCAGTCTCATGCTCTGCACTTTATGCTATTAACAGAACTGGTCAGCAGTAGCATGTCCTGACTCTGCCTCTGGCTACTCTTGGCCATATGTTGGAAAAGCTGAACTCAGTTCTTCAGTAGGCAATGTGGGAAAGGAAAAAGGGGAGGAATTTGACTGTGAATAGAAAGATGGTAGGAATACATTAATGCCAGTAACTACGACCTGAAAAGCACCCATTTTCACAGAGCTTTTTATTTCCACTTCAGCTCCTCCATACTTTTAACAGTGGTACATAAACATTCAGGTAGGCTACGAGTTTTAATGCTTCCATAATACTATACCAGATGAACCTGATTTTTAAAGTCCAAAACTTCATCTTGCACCAAGTCTCAGTGTTTTGCAGAATTAAAAGCCAGATTCTTTATATACTGATTTGTGTATGTGGTGGGTTCAGCTGGGGTAGAGTTAGTTTTCTTAACAGTAGCTGGTATGGGGCTGTGTTTTGAATTTGTGCTGGAAACAGGGTTGATAACACAGAGATGTTTTAGCACAGGGATGTTGATACCACAGATGAGTTTTAGCAGTGCTCACACAGGGTTGAGGCCTTTTCTGCTTGTCAACCCAGCCCACCAGCAAGGAGGCTAGTGGTGCAGAAGAATTTGGAGGGGACACAGCCAGGACAGCTGACCTCAACTGACCAAAGGGGTATTTCATCCCATATGGCATCACACTCAGCAGATAAAGCTGGGGGAAGAAGGAAGAAGAGGGGATGTTCAGAGCAGTGGTGTTTGTCTTACTCATTATGGAGCGCTGCTTTCATGGGGATGGCTGCAGCTGCCTGCCAATGGAAGTGGTGAATTAATCTCTTGGTTTGCTTTGCTTGCATGAGCGACTTTTGCTTTCCCTATTAATCTGTCTTTCTCTCAATTCACGAGATTTCTCACTTTTTAGTCTTACTATTCTCTCCCCCATCCCACAGGAGGAGAGTGAGCAAGTGGCTGGTGGGGCTGAGCTGCTGGCTGGTGTTAAAGGACAAAAGGGTATTACCCTTCATATCTAAAAGTGAGCTACAACAATAGCTCACAAATTAAAGACTTAAGAAAATGAAGGTGTGAAAATGCATCTCAAAATCTATAGCTAACTGCCTTAACTTTTTATTGCCTTTAAAGGCAATTAAGTGTACATTTGGACAGCCTCAGAAAAGTTGAGTCCGATCTTTTAAGTTAACCTTCCTGTTCTCATTTATGTTCGACTACTTGTGTGTGATCACAGGCTTTGGTATACTAGCAGTTTTAAAAATGCATTTGCCTCTTACAGTAGTCAATATGAAGCTTTTAAAAGACAACTGCTATAAAGACAGATCAGCATCCTAATTTTTGTAACACTTGATAAGATCAAATTTTATGATTTGTTTGTTTTTCAAAAAACAGGCCCAAGGTACTTAAAGAAATTGGTCATTTATAGTCATCAGCCTATTCTGAACACTCCACAGGACACTTAATGGAGAGGCTCAAGATTAAGCATTTTAAGGGGCAAAGGGCAGCACTGTCTGCTTTTACAGACACTTTGTTAATAATTACACTTAGCAGTTCTTTCGTTTTAATGTTTTTGAAGGAGCAAATGAATGTGTTAAGTCTATAAAACTACAAATTACTTGAGCAGCTGTGGGAAAAGTGAGCCGAGAGAAAGGCCAAAAATTTACTTTCAAGTCGAGCAATCTAAAGGTTTCCTTCCTGAATGAGGCAGTGGCACTTTCATGAGCAAAAGCCGAAGCGAGTCCCAGCACAGCCAGCACCTGAGCGGGCCGGGAGCTGCTCCTCCCGCACAGCCATCTCTCGGCTGCCATCTCCTGGGTTTGCTCCTTATAACACAGCCCCCTTCCCTCCCCCTACCCGGTTCTTCCATGACAATCAGCTACTGTTTTCATCATAGGCATCAGGCTGAGCTTCTCTTGACAACAGAGTAGAATGATCGAAATCAAGAAAGGAAACTCTTAAAATTAAGCAATGCGGGTACATGGATGTTCAGCCAATGGGCTGGATCAGTATATTCAAATATTGCCAGCCAAGACTAAGATTATATTTTGAGGACAAGTTCTTACT